CTATAAACTGGGGTTAGGTGTACCTTAGTCTTAACAGAGACATCTTTGCTCTTCAGCATTTTCAAGAGGTCTTTTTCAGCAGATTAGCCCAGTGCTATATGTTATCTTATTTCTTGACTGCTACTTCCATTGGTGTTGACTGTGGAACCAAAGAATATGAAATCTTTGATTACTTCAATCTTCTCTCCATTTATCATGATGCTGCTTATTGGTCCAGTTGTCAGGATTTTCATTTTCTAAACGTTGAGATTTAATCCATACTGCAGTCTGTAGTCTTTAGTCTTCATCAGTAAGTGCTTCAAGACATCATCACTTTCAGCAAGTGAGGTTGTGTCTTCTGCATATTGCAGGTTGTTAATGACTTTTCCTCCAATCCTGATATGTTCTTCTTCATATAGTCCAGCTTCTTGGGTTATTTTCTCAGCATACAAACAGAATAAGTATGTTGAAATGATACAACCCTGATATATACACCTTTCCTGATCTTAAACCACACAGTATCTTCTTTTTCTGTTCAAATGACAGCCTCCTGGTCTATGTAAAATTTCTCAATTAAGTGTTCTGGAATTCCCATTTTTCTCAACGTTATCCATAATTTGTTATGATCCACACAGTCAAATGTCTTAGCATAGTCAATAAAACACAACTTTCTTGTATTCTTTGCTTTTAGCAAAGATCCAACTGATACAACCAACATTCCTCATTCTCTTTTGAGCCTAGCTTGCATTTTTGGAAGTTCCCAGCCAATGTATTGTTGTACCATTTTTGAATTATCTTCAGCAAAATGTTATTTGCATGTGATATTAATGATATTGCTCGATAATTTTCACATTCTGTGGGATCATCTTTCTTTGAATGGGTACAAATATGGATCTCTTTCAATAAGTTGGCCAGGTGGCTGTCTTCCAAATTTCTTGGCATAGATGAGTAAGTACCTATTTTGCAGCATCCATTTGTTGAAACACCTCAATGGGTATCCCATCAATTCCTGGAGCCTTGTTTTTGCCAATTCCTTCAGTGCAGCTTGGACTTCCTTCAATAATATTGGTTCTTGATTATATCCCATATCCTGAAATAGATGAACATCTGCTTTTGGTACAGTGACACTGTATTTCTTCCATATTCTTTTGGTGTTTCCTACATCATTCAATATTTTGCCCACAGAACCTTTTAATATTGCACCTGGAGGCTTGAATTTTTCTCAGTTCTTTCAGCTTTAGAATTGTCAAGTGTGTTCTTCTCTTTTGGTTTTCTAACTCCAGGACTTTGCACATTTCATTACAATAATTCACTTTCTTTCAATCTGCTCTTTGAAATCTTCTGTTCAGCTTTTATCATTGTCACTCCTTCCATTTGCTTTAGCTACTCTCTGTTCAAGGGTAAGTTTCAGAGTCTCTTTTAATACCCATTTTGGTCTTTTCTTCCTTTACTGTCTTTTTAATGACCTTCTGCTTTCTTCATAGATGATGTTCTTGCTGTCCTCCCACAATTCCTCTGGTTTTCAGTCATTGGTATTCACTGCTTCAAATCTATTCTTCAGATGGTCTCTAAATTCAGGGGGGATGCAATCAAGGTCATATTTTGGCTCTTGTGGACTAGTTTTAATTGTCTTCAGCTTCAACTTGAACTTGCATATCAGCTCTTGGCCTTGTTTTGGCAGAAGAAATTGAACTTCTCCATCACCTCTTTGCAGAGATGTAGTTGGTCTGATTCCTGTGCATTCCATCTGGTAAAGTCTACATGGATAGCTGCTGTTTATGTTGTTAAAAAAAAAAAAAAAAAGGTATTTGCAATGAATAAGTCATTGGTCTTGCAAAATTCTATCATGTGATCTCCAGCGTCATTTCTATCACCAAGGCCATATTTTCCAACTACTGATGATTCCTCTTTGCTTCCAAATTTTGCATTGCAATCACCAGTAATAATCAACATATCTTGATTCTGACTTTGATCAGTATCAGACTGCAGAAGTTGGTAAAAATCTTCAATTTCTTCATCTTTGGCTTTAGTGGTTAGTATGTAAACTTGAATAACAGTAGTATTAATTGGTCTTCCTTGTTGTTGTTATTATGTGCCATCGAGTCGGCCCTGACTCATAGTGACCCTTCCTTGGGTTGCCAAGGCAGTATCGCTATAGAAGTAGATTGCCCAACCTTCCTTCCGAGGAGTGGCTGGTGGGTTTGAGCTGCCAGCTTTCTGCTTAGCAGTCAAGTGCCTTAGGTACTATGCTACCAGAGCTCCTGGTCTTCCTTGTAGGCATAAGGATATTATTCTATCACTGATAGCATTGTACTTCATGATAGATTTTGAAACATTCTTTGTGACTATAAATGCCACACCATCCCTCTTCAAGTTGTCATTTCTGGCATAGTAGATCATATGATTGTCTGTTGCAAAATGACAAAACTAGTCCATTTCAGCTCACTAATACCTAGGATATTGATATTTAGGCATTCCATTTCATTTTTGACAGCTTCCAATTTTCCTAGATTCATGCTTCATGCATTCCATGTTCTGATTATTAATGGATGTTTGCAGCTGTTTCTTCCCATTTTGAGTCATACCACATCAGCAGTTGGAGGTCTTGAAAGCTTTACTCCACATCATTAATGTCAACTCTACTTTGAGGAAGCAGCTCTTCCCCAGTTGTATTTTGTGTGCCTTCCGACTTAAGTGGCTCATCTTCCAACACCATATCAGACAAAGTTTCAGGGATAGTCATGTTTTCCAGTAATATATCAGTGTTTCATCACTATACATAAGGTTTTCATTGGCCAATTTTTTGAGAAGTGGATGGCCCCTTTCTTCTTCCCAATCTGTCTTAGTCTGGAAGCTCCATTGAAACCTGTCCACCTTGGGTGACCCTGCTGTTATTTGAAATACTGGTGGCATTGCCTCCAGCCCCACAGCAACACTCAAGCCACCACAGTGTGACAAACTGACAGATGAGTGGTGGTCCTTCATATTATTTATCAGCTTTTAACTGTAAGTTTTGTGGGATGAATTTTGTTTTAACTTTTTATTGTGATTTGGGTGAAAGTTTATAGAACAAGTTAGTTTTCCATTCAAACATTCACAGAATATTTGTTTTGTGAGAGTGATTGCAATCCCCAAAAGGTAACAGCATTCTTTCCACTTCCACCCTCTGTTTTTTCATTTCCTTTCATCCTCCTTTCCTATCATTTCCTGCCTTCTGAGATTTCTTCTTGAGCAAAACTGCCTTTTTGATCTCATATGGGTGATTGTTTTAAAGAGTATGTACCTCCCTTGTGCTATTGTTCATCTGATAGGCCTATCTGTTGTTTGGCTCAAAGCTGAGCCACGGGAGTGAGTTCAATTACACATTTGAAGGGTAGCTAAAGGCCATAGCCTCAGGGGTTCTATCATTCTCTATCTGATCAGTAAGCCTGGTCTTTTTTATGATTTTGAGTTTTGTTTCACAATTTTCTCTCACTCTATCTAGGACCTACTATTGTAATCCTTTTCAGAGAAGTTGATTGTGGTAGGTGAGCACCATCTAGTTATTCTGGTCTCAGGGTCATGGAGGCTGAGTTTCACATGGTCCATTAATCTTTTGGATTAATTATGTTCATGCATCTTTGATTTTCTGACAATAGTTTCAGCTTAGGTGGCTGCTCACAAGCTTCTAAGACACTAGTCACTACTGTGTGATGCATTTTTAATGTCTATATAGTTACTAGACTGTAAGCTTCAAGAGAGCAAAGTCTGTGTCTGTTTTTTCCATGACAAGTGACATTTAGTATCACATAATCCATATTTTATGGTTGATTAAATGAAATAATGATTTGAAAAGGTCTCTATAATAAGGTGTAATAACATTTTTGCAATCACTTGCTCTGCCTAATCAAAAACCTATATATTTGAGTCTCTGAAAAATTAATGATAGTAGCATTTAAAAATATTTTTGTCAGAGCAAATTTTCATAACACCTATAGAAACTTTGAAGTCTTTGCCAGTCATTAAAAAAAAAGAAAAAAAAAAACTTCTACTCTTAGAAATTGCAGTTAACATGTTATTTTCAACCAACTCAAATTATACTTGAGGTGGCTGTTCCCAATTTAGGTGTCACTGCTTCCTGACATAAAGATTAAATTCTGCTTCTGTGAAAAATTTTAACTAAGCACATATTTGTCATGCAGTGTGATTCTTCACAATGCTCTATGAATTCATGACATGACATGGAAATATGTAACTGGGACTAGTACAATGAGGCAAAAATCAAAAGAGTAATTTCTCTTCCTTATGGTTGATGTGATAGTACTGTGGAGTTATCAGCAAGAGGCATCTGTTATCTGCTACTAGCTAAAAGAAAAGAAAGAACACCTGATAATTAATTTTCAAAAATCACTTTTCTTAAGATAGCATTACAAATAATCTGTCTTCCACACTTTTGTTTTGTTTTAAAAAATGATTCAGAGACAATAGTCCACTATTTCATTTCACCCAAAGCTGACTAGATACTAATGAACAAGATTTGTCAGATAACATAATTTATACTTCCAAGTCAGGTAGAAAGGAACATATTTAAGAGAAAAAAAAAAAATCAAATACATTAAGAGATAGACTAGAAATGCAAACCTTGAGGCCTAGAGCACTTTATTCCTGTCTCAGCTTCTGTATCAGAGAAGTTGAAAAGTTTATTTTTGTTGTTATTTTGACTTTCATGATAATTTACTGTTATTTATAAAATGTTTTGTAGATAATAGTACAAAATGCTTCTATAATTTAATATTATCTTTTTCTCAGGTAACTGTTCTGGAGTAAATATTTCTTTCAAAACAAATAAATAAAACCTTTTTAAAATATATGTATTATTTGCAATATAAAATCATAGAACTTTTAATAATAGCATGAAAGCAGCTTTTGTGATATATGGTAACCTTTATCATAACAACAATTTGATACTGCTCCTGGAGTAGCCACAAAGCAGTAGCAATACAGAAAAATAAACCATAAAAAGCAAAAAAGTTGTTAATTACTTGTGATTGGAGAAGATAAGAGATATCCCGCCTCCAATTTAGATGGTGTTTCCATCTGGATTTTTGTTGCATTGTTCTTTTCCTCCCTTTGGCTGGGTGTTGCAGATGTTCCCATTGGGTTTTCTCTGCCAACTGAAATTAAGATTTTAAAAGATGTCATCCTCTGAAAATCATTTGTTTCTTTTCAGAAAACTCACCATGTTTGGCTATTCAAGTTATGTTTTGTATTGTTTCCACTTCAATGCCCAGTCAAGTCTCTATACCCAGCATTACATAGTTACTGGAAAACGACTTCTTACTCTTCACAACAGGCTGCACATCGATGACATTTCCATAAAACCTAGTGGCTAAGGCAGTCGACTGCTAACCAGAAGGCTGGTGGTTCAAATCCACCAGCCACTCCTTGGAAGGAAGATGGGGCAATCTACTTCCATAGTGATACTGCTTCGGAAACTCAAGGAGGAGTTGCTATGAGTTGGGTCCGATTTCACGGCACATTACAACAGCAACAACAACTTTGTAAATCCAAGTAACAGTTTAGTACTGATTATAGATCAAATAACTTCTTCAAGATGTTTTTCTTATAAATTCTAAATGGAAACTCCTCTGATAACATGGTACTTTGCCTTCTTCAAAAGGGGAAATGAAATTTTATAAGACCTTAATAAAATATGTCAATCGAAGACATACACACACACATACATCAATGAAGGAAAACATTCATGTTTTCCTGCCTTTTATTTAGAAGCAATTTGTTTTAGTGTCTTGGTTAGGAATAGACATCTACAACCTAGCTAAATAAGTAAATTAATTTTATAGTGCATGCTCACTGTGTTTTTTTTTTTTTTTTAAGATTTCAATGTTAAGTTGTTCATGTTCATTCTATAGGACTGTTATTTAGTTTTTGAATGGAAGTTACTCACATATTGCCACATTCTAATTGCCAGCTTTTAGTGAACTCATCAACAAAAAAACACTAATTGATGTCTGACTCTACATAAATAATAAATAATTGCAACTATTTCTTCATGCCACTATTACAGTCAATAACTTAAGGTAATTCATGCACTATATGTCAACATGAGAAGGCTGAATAACAGAAATTACAGACACTTAATCATTTGTAGGGAGCTCTGGTAGCATAGTGCCTAAGGCACCTGACTTCTAACCAGAAGGTTGGTGGTTCAAACCCACCAGCCACTCCTTGGAAGGAAGTTGGGAAATCTACTGTTGTAGTGATACTGCCTCAGAAACCCAAGGAGGGGTCACTATGAGTCAGGTCCCACTCCATGGCACATAACAACAACAACAACAACAACAACAACTATCATTTGTAGTTATAGTGTACAGTATACAATACTAGTATCTGAGGAACTTGCCTGACCACATTGTCATTTATATCCTTCCATTATTATAAGATATAATTTTATACAATAGTAAGCTTTAAAGACCATGCCCTATAAAACTTAGGTTTTACCAATAATGAGTTATTTACAATATAATGCTTAGATACTAGAGATTGATGTTAATAAAGGAATGTTAAAAATGGAAATATAAGAAATAACTATAAATTTGCTCACTGAGGGTAAATGCACAACTAGAGAGAGGGAAAGAAAAAAAAAAAAAAAAAGATTCCTAGATGTAATTGAGAGCCTATGCATCTATGTACAAATAAGGTAAAAATCCAGAATCTACAAAAAGAAGATAAATGAGCTTCCAGTCACCACTTTAAGCCCTAAGAATAACACAATTCATTAGACATGACCTTGACAGCGATGAGGTTGCAGCCCAAAGAGGAACACATAAGCAATGGCCGCTGGTTTGTTTTGGTGAATGCTATACAGACATATGCACAAAGTCCTCAAGAAGCACCAAGGAGAAAACAATGTGCCAGTGCAGAGATGCAGAACAAGTATAGGGAGCACTGCATAACAATTTCAGCCTGAGCAGCACTGTGAAATGCAGAATGATCACCTCTCATACCCTACTCTTTGCCTCATTGGCTTCTCAAGACTGTACTTCAGCATTTCAAAAATGGTGACAATATTTTTTTATATAACCCAATAGTTACTTTGTTGTTGTTGTTGTTGTTTGCTGTCGAGTCAGCCCTGACTCATAGCGACACCTCCTTGGGTTTCCGAGGCAGTATCACTACGGAAGTAGGATTGCCCAATCTTCCTTCCGAGGAGTGCTGGTGGGTTTGAACCACCAGCCTTCTGGTTAGCAGTCAAGTGCCTTAGGCACTATGCTACCAGAGCTCCTAATAGTTACTTTAGTAATAGAAAATTCAGTGCCTAAAAGATATTTCTGGAAATGTACAATGATTTTAACCAACTTTACATTTAAAGGAACCAAACCCCTTAAGACCACTTTCACTTTGGACACAAACTGGTAGCAGCGTAGAAGCTCTGCTGGTACAGTGATTAAAGCATTCAGCTGCTAACCAAAAGGTTGGTAGTTCAAATCTACCAGCCACTTCATGGGAGGAAGATAAGGCAGTCTGCTTCTGTAAAGATTTACAGCCTTGGAAACCATGTCGGGCATTTCTACTCTGTCCCATAGGGTTGTTATGAGTTGGAATCAACTCAATGGCAGTGAATTTGATTTGGTTTGTGAGTAGGGGAGAGAAGTGGGTTTGAAGCTCGCAAAACCACCGTTATAATAATTTACTAGGAAGACTCAAAGAATGTACTGAAAGCTGTTAAACTCACAGTTATGGTTTGTTACAGAGAAAAGATATAAATTAAAATCAGAAAGGGAAGATATGGATAGAGTTTTTGGGGGCAGGGAGTGGTAAATGCAGTTTTCAGTGGTCCTTTCCCTGTAGAGACAAAACAAATAGTATTGCCAGCTAGGGAGCTCTCCCTAGCCTTGATATCAGAGTTTTTATTGGGACTCAATCACATATTGCCGGTGTGTCTGACTTTTAGTCTCCATACCCTGCCAGTGATCAGGATAATAGCTTTACTCTCTAGTGTCTCCAGAGATTGAAACTGATATAGCATAGCCCAAAGCCCCCATCATAAATCAATCACATTGTTAAATTGTCCAGTGGCCAGAGCCTCCAGGCAAACAAAGACACTGCTATCAGGTAGGACATTTCAGGGGCCTAGAAATCACTTTCTAAAAACCAACAGCAAAAGTCATACTTCTCTTTGGGTAAGGCTATTTCTTCACTATTGGATATGGATTGCATTGTGCTCCTACCCTCACAATATGTTTTGGAGTCCTAATCCCTATATATAGTGTAATCTAATGCAATGTAGGAGCTCTGGTGGCGTAGTGCCTAAGGTACTTGACTGCTAACCAGAGGGCTGGCGATTCAAACCCACCAGCCACTCCTCAGAAGGAAGGATGGGCAATCTAATTCCGTTGCGATACTGCCTCAGAAACCCAAGGAGGGGTTGCTATGGGTTGGAATCAACTTAACGGCAGTGAGTTTCTTAGGAGCTCTGGTAGCATAGTGCCTAAGGCACTTGACTACTGACCAGAAGGCTGGCGGTTCAAGCCCACCAGCCACTCCTCGGAAGGAAGGTTGGGCAATCCTACTTCCATAGCGATACTGCCTCGGAAACCCAAGGAGGGGTCGCTATGAGTTGGGGCCGACTCGATGGCACATAACAACAACAACAATGCAATGTAATCAATTTTTGTATGTACACTATTATTCATTTGAGGTCATATCAGGGTAGGGTGAATCCTAAACCTAATAACTCTGAGTTATATCAAAAGCAGTATAGTGGTAGAGACATACATGCACACACAGGCAAAAATGATGTCCTGTGAGGATCAACAAGAACCAAGGAATATTCAGGGATATTAACTAGGAAGGAGTAAATATAGCTGAGACCCAGATTTGCACTTTTATCCTCCAGACCATTAGAAAATATTTCTGTTCTTTAAGGCCACTGTCTTGTGATATTTGTGTTAAAAATTCTCCAGCTAACTAAGACAACTACATAAAGTCATTCAGGATTTCCTCATATCCCTCTATACAGAAGCATATCCACTTTGTCTTTGAGTCAGGTGGACCACAGATGGAAGTCCAAAATTCAAATATCAAAGTAGCCTCCAATAATATTCTGAATTGGGGCACCATTTACTAGTGTGTTTTCTCTTCCTGGCTTTCAGAATTTAATAAAAAGTAATGTGGAAGTTTACCACCTGCAATGGAAAATAAAACTTGTGTCAGAAAGTGAAACAATCAGAATTGTCTAGTTGGAAATGCTATTGAAAGGCATGTATTATAAATATAATTGCATTTTTTTTTTATTATTGTGATTTGGGTGAATGTTTACAAAGAAAATTGGTTTTCCATTCAACAATTCATACACATTTTATTTTGTGACATTGATTGCAATCCCTGCAATGTAACAGCACTCTTCCTACCTCCTCCCTGTGTTTACCATTTCTATTTGTCCTTCTTTATATCATTTTTACTATCCCTTTTTGCCTTCTGATCATCATCCCTGGGAAGATTCTGCTCTTTTGATCTCATGTGGAAAATCTGAATGCACATGTTGCATATGAATGATTATGTACTTCAAATTGTGTCTTCTTATATCAAAAATTTTAGAAGTATCAATAACCACCAGACTGGGGACAGCTTCCAATATGGCAGTGCAATTCCTTAAGGAAATTGGTAAAAAAAAAAAAAAAAAAGAAAAATAACAACTATTTTAAGGCTTCTAAAAAATTATGTTAAAGGTAGATGGTAAATGAATATCTGTTCAATAAAATCTTAAAAAAAAAAAAAAAAAAGGTAAAGGAAACAAGTCTTTGATATTTAAACAAAGACCACTTCCTCTCTTTCCCATACCAGCTCAGCAAGATGGAGACTCCACTCCAGATTGCTGCAGCAAAGAGCACAGGGCTCTCTTTCCTCCAAGCTTCCACTCAGAGGGCTTTCTTCCTGGAGAAAGAGGGCAAAAGTATTTTTCATACTGGCCCCAGCTACCTAAAGTTGAGGCTAAGTTACAGGCAAGTGTAGTTGAGAGTTGGAATCTTCCTTCTTTGCCTCACTCCCATCATGTAATGGAGATCCTACTTTGGATGCACTGCACTGATAACACTTGGGCCCTGATTACCCTTGTCCCAGCTCATGAGACAGTGTTTCAACCTCAAAAGCACCT